TCGCCATCCCTGGGGGGCTGAGATCTGTGAAATTGTCGCCACTTTCGACGCCTGCTGGGGGACCAGCACAGACACGCCACGGGCGGATTCAAATTAGACCTCGCCATCCCTGGGGGGCTGCGATCTTTGAAACTGTCGCCACTTTCGAGGCCTGCTGGGGGGCCCAGCACAGTGACGCCACGAGCGGATTCAAATTATACCTCGCCGTCCCTGGGGGGCTGAGATCCGTGAAACTGTCGCCACTTTCGAGGCCTGCTGGGGGGCCCAGCACAGTGACGCCACGGGCGGATTCAAATTAGACCTCGCCATCCCTGGGGGGCTGCGATCTGTGAAACTGTCGCCCCTTTCGAGGCCTGCTGGGGTCGTGATCTTTCACGATGGCTAAACTTTTTCGAGACGTCAGAACTCAGGGATGCATCGACCCCGATTGCCCAGTCATCGCCGTTAGGGGCCTGGTAGCCCCACCCACACGCGAGCTTGAGGATTTGCTATCGAGGGCCCATCGCCGATCCATTGGCGATGTATCGGCTATGCCAGGTCGATGTCCCCCCCACTGATTGGCGGCGCGCAGAGCAGGGTCTAGGGGGAGGGAGGAAGGATTCTGAGAAGGAGGCTGCTGATGAGAAGGCGCGGGGCCGAAAAGAAGGCCCGCGCCTTCTAAGAAGCAGCATCCTCCTAAGAAGCCTTCCCACCTGCCCCTAGACCCTGCTCTGCGCGTGGCCGACTGAATCCAGGTTCCGACACTTGGCCGAAGGGTAAGTAAGGGGGGGGTTCTGGGTCTGGGTCGGTGCTTCGTCGATCTGCTTTTCCAGTCGCGCAGGCAGACTGTTGGGGGGTCCTGACCAGCCGCCAAGAGCAGCCAGGTGACCGCGGTGGCACAAGCTGAGGGCGATGGCCTCCGGTTGACGGAAAAACTTTGCAACAAACGTTTAAACACCACTTCGCATGACCCCCCACCCCCGGCCTGGGCATTGAACAAGCGTAGCGTTCCCAGAGAAGCGGGGCAGGACAAATCTTGAGCCCAACCTCTCGAACGCAATACTTGCCAATGTTCAGGCCGAGGGGTGGAGGGGGGAATGTGGTTCTTTCTGATGCGGGCGGCGTTATTACAATTATCCCGGCAAAGCAACCTAACAGCGATGTGTAGGAGCATATCTGGAAGCATTCCCCTTAAGATTCAGATGAGAATCCAGTTGTAGAATTCTGCTGTTCTCGCAGTCGTAGTCGCATTCGCGATGACAGTCGCAGTGGCAACGGCAGTCGCAGTCACAGCCTCAGCCTCAGCCTGCCTCAGCCTCAGCCTCAGCCTGCCTCAGCCTCAGCCTGCCTCAGCCTCAGCCTCAGCCTGCTTCAGCCTCAGCATCAGTCTGCCTTCAGCCTCGGCCTCAGCCTCAGCCTGCCTCAGCCTCAGCCTGCATCAGCCTCAGCCTCAGCCTCAGCCTGCCTCAGCATCAGCCTGCCTCAGCCTCAGCCTCAGCCTGCCTCAGCCTGCAGCCTCAGCCTCAGCCTCAGCCTCAGCCTGCCTCAGCCTCAGCCTGCATCAGCCTCAGCCTCAGCCTCAGCCTCCTCAGCCTCAGCCTGCCTCAGCCTCAGCCTCAGCCTGCCTCAGCCTCAGCCTCAGCCTCAGCCTCAGCCTCGGCCTCAGCCTCAGCCTGCCTCAGCCTCAGCCTCAGCCTCCTCAGCCTCAGCCTGCCTCAGCCTCAGCCTCAGCCTGCTTCAGCCTCAGCCTCAGTCTGCCTCAGCCTCGGCCTCAGCCTCAGCCTGCCTCAGCCTCAGCCTGCATCAGCCTCAGCCTCAGCCTCAGCCTGCCTCAGCATCAGCCTGCCTCAGCCTCAGCCTCAGCCTGCCTCAGCCTCAGCCTCAGCCTGCTTCAGCCTCAGTCTCAGTCTGCCTTCAGCCTCAGCCTCAGCCTCAGCCTCAGCCTGCATGAGCCTCAGCCTCAGCCTCAGCCTGCCTCAGCATCAGCGTGCCTCAGCCTCAGCCTCAGCCTGCCTCAGCCTCAGCCTCACCCTGCTTCAGCCTCAGCCTCAGCCTGCATCAGCCTCAGCCTCGGCCTCAGCCTGCCTCAGCATCAGCCTGCCTTCAGCCTCGGCCTCAGCCTCAGCCTACCTCAGCCTCATCCTGCATCAGCCTCAGCCTCAATCTGCCTCGGCCTCGGCCTCAGCCTCAGCCTGCCTCAGCCTCAGCCTGCATGAGCCTCAGCCTCAGCCTCAGCCTGCCTCAGCCTCAGCCTCAGCCTGCCTCAGCCTCAGCCTCAGCCTGCTTCAGCCTCAGCCTCAGTCTGCCTTCAGCCTCGGCCTCAGCCTCAGCCTGCCTCAGCCTCAGCCTGCATCAGCCTCAGCCTCAGCCTCAGCCTGCCTCAGCATCAGCCTGCCTCAGCCTCAGCCTCAGCCTGCCTCAGCCTCAGCCTCAGCCTGCTTCAGCCTCAGCCTCAGTCTGCCTTCAGCCTCGGCCTCAGCCTCAGCCTGCCTCAGCCTCAGCCTGCATCAGCCTCAGCCTCAGCCTCAGCCTGCCTCAGCATCAGCCTGCCTCAGCCTCAGCCTCAGCCTGCCTCAGCCTCAGCCTCAGCCTGCTTCAGCCTCAGCCTCAGTCTGCCTTCAGCCTCGGCCTCAGCCTCAGCCTGCCTCAGCCTCAGCCTGCCTCAGCCTCAGCATCAGCCTGCCTCAGCATTCAAAATGTGGCCCGGGAATGGAATTCTGGGAACTCGAAGACCACGAAGTGGCCTACAGCTGGCTCCGAGCATTCAAACTCATGCCCAGGAATGGAGTTCTGGGAACTCGAAGACCACGAAGTGGCCTACAGTTGACTCTGGGCATTCAAAATCATGCCCAAGAATGGAATTCTGGGAACTCGAAGACCACGAAGTGGCCTACAGTTGGCTCCGAGCATTCAAAATCATGCCCAGGAATGGAGTTCTGGGAAATCGAAGACCACGAAGTGGCCTACAGTTGGCTCCGGGCATTCAAAATCATGCCCAAGAATGGAATTCTGGGAACTCGAATACCACGAAGTGGCCTACAGCTGGCTCCGAGCATTCAAAATCATGCCCAGGAATGGAGTTCTGGGAATTCGAAGACCACGAAGTGGTCTACAGTTGGCTCCGGGCATTCAAAATCATGCCCAGGAATGGAGTTCTGGGACCTCGAAGACCACGAAGTGTGTAATTGTTTGCTTAAAACGACTTCCGCGGATTCTCCCCGGCACCCGCCCAGACCCCCCTGGGGAGTCATGATGCTCTCCTTTGACCCTAGTAGAAAACTATCAATCTTCGCTGTTAGGTAAAAACTGTTTCGCTCAACCGTCAGAACCCTGAGATCCGACATCTCGAAAAAAGTTAAACATCGTGAAAATCACAACCACAGCCTTGGACCCCATCTTTCTGCGCCATGTCTCTAGCCGGATCGATCTGTGAGGGTCCCAAGTCCCGAGACTGGGCGAAAACGCTCGGCCTGAAAAAATTGAGACGCCACGATCTCAGTGAACATGTGTCAGCACCAACCCCGGAGGTTCTGGCGTCTCTTTTTCGAGCCTGGCGTTTTCGCCCGGTTTCGGGCCCCCGGGCCCTCACAGATCGATCCGGCTCGAGAAAAGCGCAGCAAGATAGGGTTTGGGGCTCCGGCCGTGATTTTTCACGATGCTGCATTTTTGAAGCATCGTCGGATCTGACGGAAATTGTGGCATAACGTGTGTCCCCGCCAACGTATGCTTTCTGAGGAGCCCTCTGGGAAGGCTGAGAAAGCTTTTCGGCAGGGCTCGAGCTAAAACAGTGTTTTTCGTTGTCGCTTTGTTTTCATTTCCCCTCGTTCTGTCTTCGTTCTGCATTTGCTGCGAAAATCACAACGCAAACGGCCCACGAGATCGCCAAAACACCGTTTAGCACGAGCCCTGCTAGGAAGGCTGGAGGCCTTCTGAGCCTTCCGAGAAGGTCCGCCCCCTCTGCTTCCAGGCTGGGCGCCGCCGATGCTTGTCTTAGGTCGGGCATGTCATCCTACAGGCGGATATTGGAAGAAAATAAAGAATAGTCAAAAAATCAGCAAAAATTGCCAAAAATACTCCAAAATAGTCCAAAGACACGAAAAATCGCCACCTGACGATTTTTTACTTTTCTTGAATACTCCTCCCGTGGAGGAACATGCCCGACTTAGGCAGCGCAGTGAGGGGCGACACGGGCTGCGTGCGGTCGGCGGAGCTAAGAGAGGTACACGTCGGCGGGAAAAGGTAGGCAGAGACAGGAAGTAGGAAGGCGTTGGAAGTAGATTAGGGGCTCGACCACAAAAAACCGTCCACGAGAAACCCAACCCTGAGACTCCAGCACGTCCTTGGATTGTTGGTGTGGGAGCGTCACGCTCTCACTTCCACAGCAGAACCATCGAAACCCAAGAAACCCAGGGCACCCTGGAGGCAAGCAAGGTTTCTTGGCAGGGGTTTTCACTGTAGGTAGAAACATGAAGTAGGAAGGCGTTGAAGTAGATTGGGCTTCCGCCCGCCCCCTGAAGAGGAAGGCAGAGGGGAACCCACTCGCCTGGGAGTCCAAAAATATCAACTTTCAACGACCGGCAAGGAAACACACATTGGACTAACACACGTCCTGAAAATCGTCGAGGGGGGCAGTACCCCGACATATCCGCCCTAAAATTCGAGGCGGCCCGCCTTTCACCACAGTAGGCCTGTGGAGGGCCGCTTTCGGGCCCAGGAACTGGCAACAGAGCGGTTCAGCATGGGGGAGCGTGCTTCGGGCGGGAGTCCAGGGGCCCAGGTCTCGAATCAACCAGGCTGCCAGGCGATCTGGTTGGTCTTGGGTGCTCAACTGGGATGCGTGCGCATCTTGAGCCCACGGCGTCCAACCCAGGGCTTGCTCCGAGCCCTTCTACCCCACGCCCCATTTCCCAGCTTTGGAATACTGACGCGAAAACGAACACAAAGACAGGAGCGCCGACTGGCAGGGGGGAACAACCATTCCCATGGGTGTGAGCGGAGCGGCGCGCAGCCCTTGCATGAGCGCGGATAAGCCCTGTATGACCGGCACCAGGACGACGTGGGGCGTGTGGACCACAAACTGGCAAAGGCAGAGGCAACGGTTGAGAAATGCTTGGGCGAGACTGAAGAATAAAAAATCGAACCGCGTGCATGCAACCGCGCAGGGGCGCCCTTTCTCTCTTTTGGGACGCGCTCGTCTCGAAGCTCGCCACTTTCGCGTGGTTCTCTCTCTCTCTCTCTCTCTTCGATATCGGAAGTCAAGCAGCACGACCTATCAAGCACAGCACTTGCGGCGGTTGGTGCGCGTCGGGCCTCGAATGCGCTTCGTCAGCTTCGCACGTTTTGTTTTTAGACTCTTGAGAAAGCCACCGACGCATCCAGCCCAACACACGATCACAAATTAGACGCAACATTTGGGCATTCTGCTTTCCACGGGGGGGGAACACCAACAAACGCAACTGCATGTGTCATGTTAAATTACATGCCTCCCCCTTTTTGGCCCCCTCCCCAAGCGCCACCCCAAGAACCGTAGCGAATTTGTCCGAGGTGGTACGAATGGAGACTTCCAAGGAGGACCAATGTGTCTGCGAATCTGCGTAGGAAAATGAATGGCGCTTCAAAAGATGTTTAAGAATCGCGACATATCAAAGTATGGCTAACCTATGGACACCCTGGAAGCTCCGAGCACAAAAAAAGTGGGAGTGTTGAAAAGAGGGGGACAAGGACGAGGACGAGATTGTAAGGAAAACAAGGAGGTTGGAGTGGGCAAGGATGCGCGGGAGGAGGAAGCCTGCTAGCCACTTGCGAGCAGGAGAAGATTTTGGTTTAGGACTCCGCCGACGATCATCCGAAGAAGCCCTGGGACGCAAAGAGAAGACAGGCAAGAAGGGTGAAACCGAATGGGTGAAACGAACGGGGTGCAGCTGGACAGCATGTGTGCCATCACGCGGTGAACACCAGTACTGCGACCATCCTCCACCCCCTTCCTACCACCGCATCACATGCCGTGCAGCAGAAGCTGGGGAGAGGGGCGAGGAGGAGAAGGGCGAAGAGCAAACACCAGAGGGACAACCATGAGGAATAATTACAAACGCTTCCTCGGCTCCTCAATCGTGTCAGAACGTTGCTCGGACGAGGTCCCAGGCCCTTGTCCAGGCATCAACGGCAATCAAGAGGGCCAGGGAGACACACTTTTCTAAGTCGGCGGCGCAGAGGATCCTCAGGTGCGAGCAGCAGATTGAAGCCAGGGAGACACACACACACACATACACATCGGCACAAACTCCAGCATTCCCCATATAGCTCCTGGATGTTCTAATTCCCCTCCCTTTCTCATATTTCCCCAGACTTTCGTGGAAATCGGCCTTGATGCGTGCTTGTGCTTGTCCCTCCTGAATACACCACGGCGCTGCGAAACCCCCTGGCGGCCACGTCACTCTGTGAAAACCATTTTCCCTGCAAGACAGATTTCTGAAAAACCGGCCGAGGGTCAGAATCTGGAGGCTGTCTGCAGCCAATCGAATCCCAGCGACGATTGGGCCCGCATGGGTAAGGCTCGCGAGTGGTCGCAGAGTCTGCACGGCTGCCTGAGAACAGCGAAAAACCTGCAAGACCCAAGACCCGTTCGCCCATGGCTGAGGGGAAACGGTTCGAGTAGAGGATCGACTACAAGATTGACTTACCCCAACATTGATTTGCGCGTCGAATCTGCGGAAAATACGTCGAATGCTCGTAGATCTGCCAACATACTACGAATTGCAACTGCAGATGCGACGACAAAACCATGATTGGGATAGATCAGTTCTGCAGTCGACAGCGACAGGTGGCAACTGGCTCAGGGAGCGGACGTTGCCCTGGAAGCGGCGGCGGCGATGCGCCGCCGATGCGTGGGCGACAGCCCTCCAGACGGCGAAACCGCACGCTGCTGGGCGGGGTGGAGGGCCCGGCCCCGAGATCGGCGAGCAGTGGGCGGCATCCGGGAGTCGAGCCTCTCCCCCCCCCCTTAGGCCAGGACCCCCCCCCTCTAAGCGGAGGAGGGATGGAGGAGGAGGAGGAGGAGGAGGAGGAGGAGGAGGAGAAGGAGGAGGAGGAGCGAGGCGGAGGAGGAGGAGGAGGACAAGGAGGAGGAGGAGGAGGAGGAGGAGGAGGAGGAGGAGCTAGGAGGAGGAGGAGAAAGAGGTGGAGCGAGGTGGAGCCAGGACGAGGATAACATCGGGTTAGGATAAATCAGGCATCTCTAAGATCGGCAGCTCTGGAAGGTGCCTCGGGCGCCGCGACCTTCTCAGAGCGTTCCAGAACGTCCAGGCAGCGTTCCGGAACGCTCTGGAGAGGACTTATCCTCGTCCTGGCCCCGTCCGACCCCTGCCGCAGCGGTGCGCTTCTGCCCCGTCCTAGCCCCGTCCGACCCCAAGCCTCGTCACAGCCCCGTCCGACCCCTGCCTCAGGATGGAAGGCAGAAGGGGTGGGCCTTCTCAGAAGGCTCAGGAGGCCTCCAGCCCGCTGAGAAGCTTTCGAAGCCTCCTTCGAAGCCCCGCCGCATCCTGAGAGGGCCTGCCCACTCTCACTTCCCCTTGGTGCGCCTCCGACTGCCGCTGACCCTGAAATTTGTCAGCAAGCAGGCGGGTCCTGAGGTAAACGGGTCCTGGACTCCAGGACCTTCCCCAGGACCAACTTTTCGTCGCCAACTGTTCTTGGCAGCCTGAAAGCGGCGGAAAGACATCAGGACCCGTTTCCCTCAGGACCCGCTGACTTCTCCCAGACCTGAGGCGCCTCTATGTTCTCAAGACACGAACCCCAAGACCTCTCGACCACGTCCCTGGAGCCGATGTCTCGCCTCGGGCCGTTTTGCGACTGTCAGTGCCCAGAGCCAGCCCCAAAAAGATCCAAAACGGTGGAAAACTGCTGCCTCTGACTTTTTCTAGGTGAACCAAACCACAAGGTACATAGGCCCAAAGGCAGGTGGACAGACGAGATACGGACACCCGATTCCAGGAATCGTGGTCGGATGTGTCAGGCAGTTGGAACGATTTGGACGAGGACTTCGCGAAGTACAAGATCATGTGAGACAAAATCGTGTGAGGGCTGCGGCCTCTGCGCTCCACCCCATCGCGTGCCCGCCTCCGGCTGTACGCAACGCGCTTCCGCTTCCGTTTCCGCTTTCGCTTACGCTCGGACTTTCTCGAGCTGCTGGATGTCTTGGGCAGGGACCGACCGATCGTCCTGGCACTCCTGCAGGTCTACTACGACATGTTCTTAGAACAAACAGAATTCTCCAAGCAAAGGCAATGTGCTTAAAACATAGAGACGATGTGTAGTAAAACCACGCGATCTCAGCCAGAATAGCTCTGAGAACATTTCGCGCAAACCACGAGAGCTTATTAAAGCATTGTTTGGTGGGCCTGCAGGCGAGCCAGGACGGCTCGCCACTACTTGATGGATGTCTGGGCATGGCGAGAAGCACTCGCTTGCAAGCAAGAGTGACCCTAGCCAAGGTTTGGTGCGCGGCTTTAGGGGGCCGCGGGGGGCCAGAATCACACGCGCGAGCCACTGCCAGGGGGACCCCCCGTAAGCCCGCACCAAAGGTCACTCCGGCGGAGGGTCACTTGGCGGCGCGCACACGGGGGCAGGGGGGAGGGCGGAAGGCTTCTCAGAAGGAGGCTGCCTCTTAGAAGGCGCTGGCCTTACATCTACAGACAGGGCCCACGCCTTGTGAGAAGCAGGGGTACTTCTGAGAAGCCTTCCCCCTCCCTCTTGGGTCGGGCATGTCCTCCTACAGGCGGATTTTGGAAGAGAAATAAACAATTGTCAGAAGATCATCAAAAATAGCCAAAAGAGCACGAAACATCGTCACCAGACAATCTTTACTCTTCTTGAATATTCGCCCCGTAGAGAAGCATGCCCGACTTGACCCTGCCCCCCTCTGCGCGTGGCCGATGCGAGCCCAAACCAAAGGTCACCCCAGCGAAGGGTCGCTCCTGCGCCATGCGAGCAACTTCCTCCACGGATGCCGGCAGGCGGCCGCCCCCCCCGACCCTCCCGCCGCGGCCCGGGTGCGTGCGCGGACCTGCGCCGCCACGGAGTTGATGGCCACTGGCACGCCGCTTGTGTCAGGGGTGAGGAGGCTAAGACGAGGAGGAGGAGGAGGAGGAGGAGGAGGAGGAGGAGGAGGAGCGAGGCGGAGGAGGAGCAGGAGGAGCAGGAAAAGGCGGAGCGAGGAGGTAGGGCCAGGACGAGAATAAAAACGGGTGGAGACAAATCGAGAATCCCTGAGATCCGGCGACTCTGGAGGATGTTCGGGTGCTGCTGGAAGTGCCCCTGGCCTGAGGTGCCCACAGGATGGACGGGGTGGCCCCCAGACGGCCAACGGAGCACCCTCCACGAGGCCCAGGGGGCCCCAGAGGCTCCAAAGTGGAGCGAAAAGCCGGGGGCACCTTGGGCCAGGGGCCAGGGGCACCTTTAGCAACCTCCGATTGGTGCGGGCCCACTGGGGTCCCCCAGCCGCGGAGCGCGAGGCGATCAGCAGCGGCCCGCACGACCTGAAGCCGCGAAACCAGAGCCACCAGTGGCCGCCCCTGCCCAGGGTCACACACTGCGTGCGGCCGAGGCGTCGTCGTCTTCACCGTCGTCGTCGCCGTCGTCGTCGTCGCCGTCGTCGTCGCCGCCGCCGTCGTCGTCGGCGTCGCCACCGTCGTCGTCGTCGTCGTCGTCGTCGCCGTAGCCGTCGTCGTCGCCGCCGCCCCCGCCGTCGTCGTCGTCGTCGTCGACATCGTCGTCTCGGGCGCCGCAGCGCGCTCCGAATGGGTTCTGGAACGCTCAGGGGCGGGTTTCCATCCTCGTCCCGGCCACGCCCTCGAGGCGCGGCCCCCCCGAGCGCGGCCAGAGGCCCTGGGCCGGCCGGCCGGCGGGGGGGGGACAGGGGGAGAACAGGGAGAAGGAGAAGGAGAGGGGAAGTCCTCCTCCTCATCCTCCTCATCCTCCACATCCTTCACCTCCTGTTCTTCTTCCTCCTCCTTCCCCTCCTCCTCATCCTCCTCATTATCCTCATCCTCCTACTCCTCCAATTCATCCTCCTCATCATCCTCCTCATCATCGCCATCATCGTCGTCATCGTTAGCGTCATCATCGTCATCATCGGCATCATCATCATGAGCAGCATCAGCATCAGCATCATCCTCATCGTCATCATAAGCATCATCATCATCATCAGCAGCAGCATCATCATAATCATCAGCAGCAGCATCATTACCACCACCATCACCATCATCATCATAATCAGCATCATCATCATCACCACCAGCATCATCATAATCGTCATCATCATTGCATTCAGCATCATCGTCATCGTCATCATCATCATCCTCATCATCATCATCATCAGCAGCAGCATCATCGTCATCATCATCATTATGATCATCAGCATCATCGTCATCATCAGCATCATCAGTTGTCTTCCTGCTAGAACTCTGGCTCAAAATTGTGGCCGCCACCAAAGCGACCCTAAGAATCCAAACTACCTCAACTACTTGCCTGCAGCATCCTCATCATGATCATAATCATCAGCATCGTCGTCTCCATCGTCGTCATAACCATCATCGGCATCATCATCAGCATCATCATCAGCATCATCATCAGCATCATCATCAGCATCATCACCACCACCACCATCACCATTATCATCATCAGCAGCATCGTCGTATCCATCATCGTCATCATCAGCGTAATCAGCATCATCATCATCATCATCATCATCATCATCATCATCATCATCATCATCATCCTCCTCCTCCTCCTCCTCCTCCTCCTCATCCTCATCCTCATCCTCATCCTCATCCTCATCCTGTTGCTGCTCGTCCTCCTCCTCCTCAAGGAGCTGGGCCCAGACCCACGAGGCCCGCTCGCAGATTGCAGGGGCTTTGCGCCGTGGCTCCGTTGGCGCGCGCAGTGTGCCGCAGCGCTGCTCAAGAGCCTACCGTGGATGCTTACCGACAAAAAAACCCACTGAGAGAAACCCAATCCTGAAATCCGCCGAGATTTCTTGGTTTCTTGCACTTCGGCTGTAAACAAGGAAACCCGAGATACCCTGACCCGAGCTGCTTCTCGATCGCCTGCGTATGAGCAACTTGACATCGAGAAACCCGACGCAAGCCGGGGTGTCCTGCCGTTTGCAGTCTATCAAAAATGTCTGTCACCTTCCACGCCGAACACACGCCAAGAAACCCAGGGCACCCTGACGAAACAGAAGATGTTTCTTGCCATGTGGTGAAACTGCACGCTGAACAAAGGCTACGCTCACCTTGAGAAGCATTCCCCTGACGCACAGGTGGTCCGCTCCGCTCCGCTCCGCTCCTCCTGTGTCCCCCTGGAGGCTGGCCAGGTTCGCGTCGTGTCCACTTTGGCGTTGGTTCCTGAAACCACAGGGATCATTCAACCTTGAACGATCGGTCGTTTCCTCAACGTCAGATCGTTCAAAATCGAATCGACTGATTCTGGCTCGCTGGCGGCATTCAAAATTGAACGCTGGCAACGGGGTCGCCGCTGGTCGACACGACGAACCTACCCCACCCCTGCAGGCCAGATTTCTGAGGCTTCGGCTGGGGTCCAGAATTCGAAGGGCATCTTCAGCCGAGCGAACCCCAACGGGGATGTCAGATACCCCAGCGTCGAGTGGACCCGCAGGCCTGCAGGGACAGGAGTCGCACACGGTCGCAGATTAAAAGAATATCAGCCAACGCAGAATCCAAATAGATCAGAAAACTGAAATGAAGTGGACCGGAGTGGACTGGAGTAAACTGGACTGGAGTAGACTGGGCTGGACTGCGGTGGACTCTAGTCCACTCTACTCCACTCTACTCTACTCAAATCTACTCTACTCTACTCTACCCGACTCTATTCTACCATCTACCCTATTCTACTCTACCATCTACCCTATTCTACTCTACTCTACTCTGGATTGCTCTAACCTACTCTACTCTACCCAACCCTGCCCGAACCTACTCTACTCTTCTCTACTCCTCGCCTACTCTACTCTACTCCTGCTCCTACTCTACTCGCCTCTAAAATACCGTCCTCTACTCTGCTCTGCTCTACTCTACTCTGTTCTACTCTGCTCTACTCTATGCTACTCCACTCTACTGTACTACTCTACTCTGCTCTCCTCTACTCTACTATATCATGCTCTGCTCTACTTATTTACTCTTCTGATGATTGTTTGACGATTGTTGGCCGATTATTGGGACGACATTGAAATAACTACAGGAAGCCATTGGAATAGAAGAGGATTCCATGCGGATACAGAGGAAGTCATGCGGAAAGCAGAGGAACCCATGCGGATAGCAGATGAAGTAATACGGATAGGATTGACAATTGTTGGACGATTTGTTGTGATGCCAACAGCCACAGGGAACAATTTGAATGGCAAAAGAAACCATGCGGATACAGAGGAAGCCATCTGAACAGCATAGGAAGGCCATTCGGATAGAGAGGAGACCAAGCAGATAGCAGAGGAATACATGCGGATACAGAGAAAGCCATGCGGATAGCTTGACGATAGCAAGGGCAGAGAAGAGGGGGGGTTCACTGGACCAGCTCTCTCTCTCTATGGGCTGAGCTATAGGCAAGCCTATTTGGAAAACACGGTCCCAGGCATCAAGTGCCTTGATTGTTTCAATACGGGGCCCTCGAAATTCTGGCCCTGTCCCCCAGACCAGCTCTTCGTCCCGTCCCGTACCATTCTTTGACGGAGTCCCGGACGCCCAGCGAGACCCCTGGGGGCCGAGACCTCTTGTGTCTGGGCTGCAGGCACCCCTGCGATTGGATGTCTCCGCACTCACCTCTCCTCTAGCCCAGGCCAAGATCAGTCAGCATCGAATCGGAATGTCCGTCGGATTGGACTGCGTTGGCACGGAGTCGAAATCGGATCGGATCGGCTGCGCCAGGATGCTCAACACCGTCGCGCAGGCCTCGGGACCCCGTCAAAAAAACAACCTCACGGCGCGGCCAATGCTTCGCCATGCTCGACCTCCGGGGGCGGGCTTCGGGCCCAGGCACCGCCAGGAACGGACTCGGGATGAAAAACTAGTCCCCCGGGGAGGCAATCCAAGCGTCTGGGTCTTGGGGGGGGGGACGCACATCTCGGAAAAAGTCGACGCGCCGGACGTCTGGGCAGGTCCACCGTCCACGGCAGGTCCGCGTCGACGCGACGTTGGCGATGGTCTCCGACGCCGTGCAGGTCGTCCGGCCTTGAACAGTCGCGGCCCTGCGACAGCGAGATATTCCTCGGCTCGATGTCGGCCGCTTCTGGGCCACGGGCGGCGTTCCAACGTTGGAGGCCCGCGCGGGAGTTGCCGCCGCGTCAGCGCGGCGCGGACATGCCATAGCAGAGCGTCCTCCCCGGTCCACCCTCCTCAGATATCCCCCGCCTCGCGCCCGAGCCGACGGAAGCCAAGATCTCTAAGCCCCCGCGCTCGCGCGCGCGCCGCCTGCCCCCCACCTTCCCTGTCGTTTGGACGCTCTGGGGCACCTCACCCATCGCTCTCCTCGCCATCGCTCGGACGTGCAGTTCCCATGCACTTGTCAGTTCCGTGCGCGTAATTGTTCGCAAGGTGCACCAAAATTCTCCTCGGTGGCCATCGCCGAGACAAAAACGCACATGCCCGAGCGATGCCAAGTCGACCGATGGTCTCGCGGCGGAATGGGGGTGGGCAACGACCGCGGCGGAGGCACTGGATAAGAAGTCCGTGGATGAAGAAACCAGGGCGTCGCGAGTAGAGTGGGCGCCCAGTCTTGGATTAGGTCGGGCGTGTCCTCCTACAGGCGAGTTTTGGAAGAGAAACTTAAAAATAGTCTGAACAGAATCAAGCATAATCAAATAGCACGAAAAATCGTTCCCTGACTATTCTAACCATTATTGCATATTCCCTCTGTAGAGGGACATGCCCGATTTGAGACTGGACAGAAACGCCGTGGATGAGGAAACCAGGTCGTCGCGAGTGGAGTGTGCGCCCAGCCTTGGGCTGCCCCACTCCGCCCCGAGACGCTCGGTCAATGCGAAGGATCCTGCAAGATCCTGCAGGATCATGCACCCAAACCCAGGTCAATGCGACTCTGGCCCTGCAGGATCCTGCAAGATCGGGCGCTCTGGCTGACCCCCGTTTGCATTGACCCCCGTCTCAAGGCTCCCGATGTCAGAGATGTAGCGACCGACTGGCCGCCTCGATGGCCTCGAGGCGCTGGATGTGCTGGATCGGGGAGACGCACAGTCGGACCCCAGCCAGAAGAACAGCCCTCAAGAGCACGACATCCTCTGCCTGCCAAAGCGCACAGAACATCCAAGGGTACCCTCCCCAGGGTGCACAAGAGCACCCAACAAACACGAAGAACATCAGGGTACCCTCCCCGAACCGACCTCGACCTTATACCTCGGTCCGACTGTGAGACTCGGGTTCGGGGGACTCGGGTTGGCCTGACGGGGCCGTCAGGAAAATGGCGGGGGCCACTCTGAGATTTGCCGCGAGCTCCCGCGGTAGACATCCCACGAGAACCAGACCGGCGAGATCCAGGACGGGCCCGTCAGAAAGCGCTCGCAGCTCCGAGTTCTGGCGCACTCGACCCTCACGGTTTCCCCCGGCCGGGGACCGCGCCTCGGCGACGTGCCGAGAGCGGCGTTCTCGGGAGCGCCCAGGGAGAAGCGCGGACGCTCGCTGGCTGCAGCGCCCGGGTCGGCCTGCCCCGAGGCATGTGCCGTGGCTGGGGGGAGCCGAGCTGGCAGGGGCGAGAGGGGAAGTGTTAGGTCGGGCGTGTCCTCCTACAGGCGGATTTTGGGCGAAACATAGTCAAGACTCAAGAAATGCCCCCAAATGGTCAAAATCGGTCAAGAATCGTCCCCTGACTATTTCATTACTATTTTTGAAGACTCCTCCAGTAGAGGGACATGCCCGACGCAAGGAAAGTGCGGGAGGGGCCGGCTCGGGGCGCACGTGGGGGGGAAGCGAGGGTCGGGGGCGCGCAAACGTGGATTAGCGATCCCTGGACTTGGCGAGCGGTCGCCAAATTCCAAGGGATCGGGGGAGGTGCTCTCCCCAAAATGCGGCCGGTGCCGCCTCGTTCGGCGGCGGAGATCCGCGATTTCCCACGAAAACGGGACCCGTCGCTAATCCACGCCGCCCTGATCCATGTTTGCGATCGCCTGAGAGAGGGAACGTGCGGGAGGGGCCGGCTCAGGGGGGGAACATCGCGCTGGAGTCGGCGACACGTCGCCAAGAGAGAGCGGCGGTGTAGGCCACCGATGGCAAAGCCGCATATGCTCCCGGGTGCGGGGCGGGCTCTCTCGGGCCCCAAGCGGCGCTCAGTGGGCGGTTGGGGTCGATGCATCCCGACCGGAGCCTATCGCTTGAATAGGGCTTGGGGTTCAGGTCTGCAGAACACCCCAAAAAGGACGTCATGGGGCGCAACCAACCTGTTTGGTCAAGCTGAAACTGATGCACCACACCCGGCGTCAAGCCAAAACCTCGGACATAGGCAAATGGTTGGACTCTGCACTTCTTCGTCAGCTTAACCGGCGAGGCGTTTGACCACCTTGGCCCTCTGACCCTCGGCCCTGCTCAACCTATCCCCACCGGAACATACCCCCACCTGAGTCTATCCTTACGTCGGGTATGTCCCCCTACAGGCGGATTTTGGAAGAAACATTAAAAAGTGTTCAAAAATATTCAAAAATTGTGAACTGACTATTTCTGAACCATTTTTGAACATTCCTCCTGTAGAGGGACAGGCCCGACCTAATCCTATCCCCCCGAACGTTGCCCCTGAGGGGGCTCATCGGCATGTTTCGCCGAAGAGCACAGGCTCGCAACCTCCCGCCGCGAGTCGAGGAGGAGCGACCCCCTTCTGCGAGTCGAGGAGGAAGAGGGGCCTTGGGTGTGCGGTCCAGGGAGTCGCCCGCCCAGGGTTGCTCTGCATGGCTGATGGAACAAATCCCCATCCTACTCTCCCCCCTCCTGCGCCCCAGGTTGTAACGCAGGAGGAGGGGAGGAGGAGGAGGAGGAGGAGGAGGAGGAGGAGGAGGAGGAGGAGGAGGAGGGGAGGAGGGGAGAAAGGGCGCTTCCTGCTAGTCGTATCCTCTTGAAGAGGCAGACCATGATCCCGGCGTAGACGCCAGCAAGCACCTTCCCTGCCCCTCGTCCTCGGGCCCTTGTGCTCCTCCTCCTCCTCCTCCTCCTCCTCCTCCTCCTCCCTCCTCCTCCTCCTCTTCCCTTCCTCCTCCTCCTCCTCCTCCTCCTCCTCCTCCTCCGCCTCCTCCTCGTCCTCCTCCTCCTCCTCCTCTCATCCATCCATCGTCCTTACCTATACGACACCCCTTCGGGTGATAAGGAGGATATGGGAGAGAAGAATCCGCCGACCCCTTTGGGTTCATCGGCGTGTGAGATGTTCCCCCTCCCCAAACCCCTCCCCCGGGAGCCCGGTCCGGTCCATTTGGAGGGGGGGGGTCCGGCCGGACGGCCCCGGGCGGCCCGGAACCCCCCGGAGGTCTCATCCGCGTGTAGGGACGCGTCTGGTGGCCTCGAACTGGGTTTGGGACGCCCCACGAGCGCTCCAAGACGTCCAAGTTGGCCCGAAGACGGGCCACGAGGCGTCCTCGACGGCAGAAGAGGTCCCCACGAGCCCCCCCGAGGGCCTCCGAGATGCGTTCCACAAGGGTCCCTAGACGCAAAAATTGGGCCATTCCCTTCGTGAAATGTACATTTTTTAGAAATTCAGCTTTGGATCTTTCCGATGCTCCCCGACGGCCCAAGAGGCTCCCAAACCCGCTCCCAGACGGCCCCAGAAGCCTCGCAGAGGGTCCCCCACAGACCCCTAGAGGGCCCAAGATGGGCCAACAGGCGTCCAAGACGGCCCAAGAGGGCTCCGAAAACGGCCCCAAGAGCATTCCAGGAGCGCTCCGAGTTGCCTCCACGAAGCTCCACATGGTCCCAGACGGTCCAAGAGCGATCAGAAACATCGACGACGACGTCCCGACGGCTCACGAGGCCTCCCCAGACGCCCCCACAGGCATCCAAGATTCCCCCCAAGAGGCCCTCTAGACGCAAAAAATCGCTCGTTTCCTTCGTAAAACGTATATTTTTTCACACGGGCGCCTTTGGGGGTGTCCCCCGCTCCTGCACGGCCCCAGAGCCCCCCAAACCCGCTCCCAGACGACGCCTCCCAGAGGGTTCCTACATAGCCCTCGAGGGCCCCAAGACGGGCCAACTGACGTCCAAGGCGACGCGCTGCGAGCCCCCCCAAGGGGTCGGCGGTGTGGCGTAAGCCCAAGATCAACTGATGGCAATCTGGGTGGTTGTCATGAGGACGATGCCGGTGATGCGCCCTCGGGTTGGCGACGACGACGATGACGACGACGATGATGACGATGATGACAATGATGACGATGATGACGATGGTGACGATGATGACAATGATGATGATGATGATGATGATGATGATGATGATGATGATGATGATGATGATGATGATGATGATGATAATGATGATGATGGTGATGATGATGATAATGATGATGAGGAGGATGAGGATGAGGATGAGGAAGATGATGATGGTGATGATGATGATGATGATGATGATGAAAATTGATGAGATGATGGTTATGATGATGATGGATGACGATGACGATGACGATGACGATGACGATGACGATGACGATGTCGATGATGGTAACAATGAGGAGATGATGATGATGACGATGAGATGATGATGATGATGATGATGATGGTGATGATCATGATGACGATGATGATGATGATGATGATGATGATGGTCGCGATGGGTGCTGTCGTTTGTCATCCCACCCGGCGTGCTCCAGACACGAGGGACGGCACTCCAGGATCTCTATCGATCTCACAATCGATCTCACAACCGATCTCATGATCGATCTCACAACAGATTGCACTATCGATCTCCCAATCGATCTCACCGTCAATCTGACAATCGAACTCACTATCGATCTCACATTCGGAATCACCATCGATCACACAACAATTCTCACTATCAGTCTCACAATCGATCTCAAAATCGATCTCACAATCGGTGACATGATCGACCTCACTGTCGATCCCACTATAGATCTCACAAGCAATCGAACCATGGATTTCATAGCATATCTCACCATCGATATCACAACGAAAATCACGATCTCCCAAACGATCTCACTATCGATCACGCCGCCCTGCTCTGAGACACTGACTCGCGCCGCCCTGCCCCAGGACACGGAATACCGACGGGACACCGACGGGACACCGACGTGACACCGACGCGCCACCGACGGGACACCCCTGGCCACCGCGCGCCGGGGGGGGAGGGGCGGACAATCGGCTCCACAGCCCCTAGCCACGATGGCATCATTCCTCTCGCGCGTCCACGCAGCTTCGCCTCGCCCGCACGCAAGACACCAAAAAGAAAACGAAACCGATTTCCCGATGGGGGGTCTCCGTTTCACGGCGACTTCACCCCCCAACCTCCGATAAACAACTCCTCCCTGCCGCACCGCCAGACGTCTGTAGGGCGGGCCGGGCGTTTCGCCTGAGACTTCCTCCTTATCACTCATGATCCTGAAGATTCAGATTTGCACCAGCTTCACGGATGGAGGGCGGGCCGTTGTCAAAATGTGGCTCTCGCATAAGCACCGCGCACATTCGTCTTAAGTTTGCGACAGTGGCTCTCGCCATAGCGCCGCACACATTCGTCTTGACCGTTTTGCAACAGCTTCAAAGATGGAGTGCGGGCCGTCAACATGTGGCTCTCGCCTGAGCGCCGCGCACATTCGTCTTGACAGTTTCCAACAGTTCGAAGGACCCTCGCGGATGAAGTCCCAGGAAAGGTGCTCTGACACGATTTAGGACTGTCAGAACGTAACAGTCACGTTGATTCGCGGCGCTGACGTCCCAGGAATGGCCTTCTGGCACGATTTGGGATTGTCAAAACGCAACAAGTCACGTTGATTCGTGGCGCTGAAGTCCAAGCAATTGCGATCTGGCACGAACTTGGATTATCCAGACGCAAATGTCATATTGTTTCGCGACGCTGCAGTGTGAGGAATTACAGTTTGATGCGGTCGAAGACTATCGGACTGTTGTTTTCCAATGGGGCACTTCCAACAATGATAATAAATTCTTGAAGAGACCTATGAAGAGGGAGCTTGGACCTCCTCCTCCACCTCCTCCTCCTCCTCCACAAAACTCCTCCCTGCCGCACCGCCAGACGTGTCGGTAGAGCGGGCCGGGCGTTTCGCCTAAGACTTCCTCTCCGTCTATGATCCCGAAGCTTCAGATTTGTACCAGCTTCACGGATGGAGGGCGGGCCGTTGTCAAAATGTGGCTCTCGCATAAGCACCGCGCACATTCGTCTTGACCGTTTGAAGCAGTCTCAAGGATGGATGGCGGACCGTCTTCAAAATGTGGCTCTCGCCAGAGCGCCGCGCACATTCGTCCTCAAAGTCTGCAACAGTTTGAAGGACTCACATGTTTGAGGTTCCAGGACTGGTGTTCTGACACGATGTGGGAGTGTCAGGACGCAACGGTCACGTTGATTCGCGGCGCTGACGTCCGAGGAACGGCCGTCTGTCACGATTTGTGACTGTCATGGCGCACAACAGTCACGCTGAATCGCTGCGCTGAAGTCCCAGCAATTGTGTTCTGACACGAATGAGAATTATCCAGACGCAAATTCGCTGCACTGAGGTGTGAAGAACGGTGGTTTACCACGGTCGAAGACTCTCGGACGGTTGTCTTCCAAAGGGGCACTTCCTGCAATGAAAATAAATTCTTGAAGAGACCTGACCTATGAACAGGAAACTTGGAGCGTGGGAGTATTGCAACATCGCTGATGCGTCTTGGGTTTACAATGGTACGCCTCCTCCTCCTCTTCCTCCTCCTCCTCCATCCCTTTCCTGATACGCAACCCCTCCGTGTCACACCGCCAGACGTGTTGGCAGGGCAGGCCGGTCGTTTCGCCTGACTCCCTGACCACTTATGATCCTGAAGCTTGAGATTTGCAACAGATTCACGGATGGAGGACAGGCCGTTATCAAAATGTGACTCTCGCCTGAGCGCCGCGCACATTCGTCCCAAAATTTGCGACAGTTTCGAAGATGGAGGAGAGGCCGTCTTTAAAATGTGGCGCTCGCCTTAGCGCCGCGCACATTCGTCTTCACTGTTTGCAGCAGTTTCCAAAATGGAGGGCATGCCATCTTCAACATGTGGCTCTCGCCTGAGCGCCGCGCACATTCGTCTTCAAAGTTTGCAACTTGAAGAACTCGCATGGCTGGAGTCCCAAGAATGGTGCTCTGACACGATCTAGCATTGTCAGAACGCAACAGACACGTTGATTGGCACGATTCGGGATTGTCAGGACGCAGCAGTCACGTTGACTCGCGGCGTTCAAGTCCCTGAAATTGTGTTATGGAACGCGTTGGGATGATCCAAACGCAGAAGTCATATTGTTTTGCGGCGCTGGACTGTGAAGAATGGTGTTTTCACACTGACGAAAATCCTCAGACGGTTTTCTTCCGAAGGGGCACTGCCCGCGAAGCAAATAGGTTCCGATGGAGATTGATGAACGGGAAACTTGGAGGAGGGTGCATTGCAACATCGCTGATGCGTCTTGGATTTGCACTGGTACTCCTCCTCCTCCTCCTCCGCCTCCTCCTCCGTCCTTTTCCTTACAAACAACTCCTCCCTGCAACACCGCCAGACGTGTCAGTAGGGCGGGCGGGGCGTTTCGCCTGAGACTCCCTGACCACTTATGATGCTGAAGTTTGAGATTTGGAACATCTTCACGGATGGAGGGCGAGCCGTTGTCAAAATGTGGTCCTCGCCATAACGCCGCGCACATTCGTCTTGAAGCTTGCGACAGCTTCAAATATGGAGGGCGGGCCGTCTTCAAAATGTGGCTCTCGCATTAGCACCACGCACATTCGTCTTCACCGCTTGCAAAGGCTTCAACGATGAAGGGCAAGCAGTCTTCAGAATGTGGCTCTCGCCTGAGCGCCGCGCGCATTCGTCTTGAAACTTCGCACCTGTTTGAAGAACTCGCATGGTTCAAGCCCCAGGAATGGCGTTCTGACACGATCTAGCACTGTGAGGACGCAAAAGTCACTTTGACTCGCGGCGCCGAC